GTCTATAAAACTGAGATTTGCTTGTTTCACTTGACTTTCAGGGCGTTTTTTCTCAGTCTCTCTTAAGCCCACTTGGTAAGACCCAGAACTCTAAAAAACTCAGGTCTTCACTTATGTTCAAAACCTTGACTATAATAGGCATGGTGGGGATATAAACTACTTGATATGAAAAACAAAATACAATATAAAAACGGACCATAGAATTCTTCATTGAGCCTTACATATCTGCTTTGCTGTATAAATATGAGCAAGTTTATCCCTCAGCCTGCGCTATGACAGAATTCATGACAAAAACTAGTTTGGGGATTTGTTCCTTTTCTTAAGGTTGTGGTGTCTATTACAGCAACTATTATCTATTTGAGGCAAGGGTATGTTCTTACTATGGTATGTTTTCTTACTGTCCTATTATTGTCCACAGACCTCAAAATAAAGCAGTAACGTGTAAAGATGTTCTTTTTTTTTTTTTTATTTTTCAGTGGGTTAATTGATGCATACGTGTGAACATTCACATACCAGTCCCACCTCTCAGAGCTCCTTCAGTGACTAACTCTTGAAATTCAAAATCCCAGGAATCCTTTTATTTAATACTTCCATCATTAATCCTGATTTTCATTTCAACAGCCTGATTCCCAAATCTAGAAATCAATCTCAGGTACTTACATCAGTTTTAGGACATTATGGTAAAAATATTCCAGATTTTGAGAGGCCCTCTCACTAATTTTCTCAACAATATTCCCCTCCTCTGCCTTTAAGATTGTGTAGAATGCTTATAAAAAAGGTATAATAATGGCTGAATTGTTCATTTTGAGATCCAACCTACAGTTTTATCCTTATCTTTCTTCCATGAATTAAGTATGCTAAATGATGTTGGACAAAAGAGAAAGCACTTATAATCGGCATTGCTGTTGAAGTTGTTCTTCCTAAAATGTACAAATAAAAAATCAGAGAAGATTGAGGTGGACCTGTGACACTTCTGGGATCTCATCATTTTCAGTGAGTAGAAAGACTATCTTGAACCACCAGCTCCAGGAGTGCAAGTCCAAAACAGCCTTTATAACTGGAATTTGCAATTTCCTTCCAAATGACTGTGGAACATAGCTCAATAATTATGCATCTCAACCATTGTGTAAACAAGTTTAATTAACATTTTTCAGGCATGTCACATTTATACAATCACTAAGTAATTTTCTAAAATTATATTGCTGAGAAATTGCCACACATCAATTTGGATTATTTTTACTCATGATCCTAATCATGCCTGAAATAAGTTTGTTCTGTTCATATCACTTTATATATATTTTTAATATATTTGGTGCTTCCATTGAAGATGATTCATACTTACAGGCTAGCCAGATGCTCTGTTCAATCTATCTGTAAGTGTTTTGTTTAATTGCCATGGACTTAATCAGAGCTGCCATTTTTGTTTTCAAGCCACTATGGCATTAATAAATTTCCTTTTCACTCACTTTATAGTAAAAGAAATTTTGGTAAGCATTCATCCCCTTGTTCAACTTGTCAGAATATACTGTCTAAGGTTTTTAGTGCCCAATTTAGGGAACAAGATGGTGGTAATCATGCACTTATTCTTCTGGCTTTTTGGCAGCATGTTTTTTATTCAAAATGATTACATTTACTTTTCTATTTGAGAAGACATCCAATACTGATCACAAACAATTACTAATTATTAGTAAAATACTCAAATTGCTTTTTGGACTCCTGTTAAGTCTATTATTATTGTTATTGTTACAAGTGCATTCATATTTTGCTAAAGTAGTAATCCCAAGCAAGGCTAATAAATTGAAAAATGTTCTCAGGCATGAAACTGAAATGAAATTAGGAATACAAATGGAAGGAATTGTACAATGAAGTGTGCAAGCACTGAAATAATATTTCGTGCTCCAAACACATTAGCTGTATGGTTACATAAGTATAAGGATTAGCGTTCAGGTTACCGAAAGAGTCTTTTGGATTTTCTTGCTCTTTATTTGCTTCCTGACATCATTCACCATTCCATATTAAGTACAGAATTTTATTTATGAGTACTTCCAAATTTTAAAGATTTTACCAATAAATATATGTCTATGAAAGATTTTCTTAGTGGCTTTGATAATAAAACTGCAATTGATAATATCTGTTGAACTTTATCTTTAATGGAAAGTGCTTTTGCAAATTCTCACATTTGTGAATTAGAAGAAAGAATGAATGCATTTTATATTTTTTTGTCTGGACAGTGCTTATGCTCTAAAATGATTTTGCAGAAATAAAAATGTAAGGAACTCAAGCAAACAGAATACTACTACTTTTTGACTTTAATGGAATATTTGTATTGAACAGTATTATTTATTTATCCTATCTTTTAGTTTGCAGCTTTGTATGTAAATGAAGCTTTGCCATTATTATTCTGCCTGAATCTGTTTTCAATGATTATCGCACAGTTCAGGAACTGAAGAGCAGATTCTTCTGATGCCAGTCCATAAAGAAAACTTTGCCTATCTGCAATAGGATATCTAGACCTTCAATAATATGTCCTTTTGCTCTGAACAAGCATGGGAGGAAAAAATAAGAATGAGATGCTTGTTAGTAACAAAATAAATTACTGCTTTCTGATATGTCATGCTGCAAATTGATGCTGAATCTACTCAGTGATGATGTCTAGTTATTGTAACAATGCCCACAGCTTGACAAAATAACCTCTAGGTTTATTGCTGTTTTCAGTCTTTACAGAACACAGATCAACCCAACATTATCTACATGCTGGGAACATACGAGCAGTGTTGCCAAACAAGAGATTCTCCAACCAGTCTTAATCCTTTAGGAAACATCTAGAGAAAATGATTTCCAGAATATAAATGTTTAAATTAAATGGTTATTTTAAAGCAAAATATAATTCAGCAAAAAACATTCTTGCTCAAAAAAGGTCCAATAAGAATATGGTTTGTTAGCTTCATGTACTGATATTCTCAATTCAGAAGTATTGCTAATCAAGGTCAGTTATAAATGGGGAATAAGTAAATATCTACTGATAGCAAATGTATGCAGTTATGGTTTTCACACCCAAATCACTTTAATCTTAATTCCAAATAGGTATTAATTACAATTGGGCTACTGCAGCTATAAAAATGAGATGGCTATCATTTATAGGTTTTTTTTTTTTTCCCCAAAATGAATACCTCTGTCTGTGATTGTGAAGATACTTGGGAAAAATCAAATATAAGTTGTCTTATGAAGATCTAGCTGGTTGCACATGTTTTGCCTTCTTGGAATTGCTCACACTGGGTCTGCTATCTGATACAGATATGCCAACATTTTGCATATTGTTGATTTTTATTTCCCAAGATTCAGTTGTAGGGTCCATATCATAATTCTCTCATGATACTTGCATGTGTTGAAATTATTAGTTAAATGTCTGTGTTAACAGCAATAATATTGAAAATTTCTGCACCATGCAATTGTGTTTTATTTATAGTTAAATCCCTTCCACCTACTATAGGACCTTCCTGACTCATGTTAGGTAATTACAAATAAATTTTGAACTGATCTGAAAATAAATCACATATATTTACCAAAATGGCAGCAGCTTTAGCCAAAGCTATTTACTCCTACAGGTGAATTATTTTCATTTAAATTACATCTTGCAAAACGGAGGGGTAAGACAATTATCCACATAAAGTAATGGCCAAAATCTTACACTGAGACAAAGCAGACTTTTGATTCAATTGACCCAATACACTAATTATAACTAATAACTTATGTATTTTTCCTTTGAAAATATAGACATAGTTTAAAGACATTCAAGTTTTTCAAGACAAAGCAATTCTTCAAAAATTTGTCCATCGGTTTCTTTTCCATTATTAGACATTATTACATATTTAATAACTCCTATTATCAAGTGGACTTGTATTAGTGATAAGTTATGTTGAATTCTTCAAATATTGAAAAAAATACAAATTAACATCCAATTGTATTTGCTGAATATTTTCTAAGGAATAAAAATCATGGAAATGTGTCATTTTAAGACACTCGTCCACATACAAAGGATCTACACACAAGAGTAAACACGTGCTCATTTGTGAAACAAAACTCTTTTCCTCCTGAGTCTAACCTAACTTTGTCTTTTTTGCGTTTTCACACAATTCTTTTTTTTTCCACTTCTGGGTACACGGTCCCCCTGTTTTCCTCTCTGTAGTTGGCGTTCTACGGTCTCGCCCTTAGTGGGGTCAGAAGTACAGGTAATGCAACACAGGTTACTGAGAGAGGTACCTGATACTCCAGGTGAATTTGCATAAGCATTTTTATTCTTTTGACAATGTCATAGAAAAGAATGAATCATCCAAATGTCCTTTGTCATACGGGGCACTATCACAGGTTAGCATTATTGATGGGGTAAGGATCAGGAACCAGTTTAAAATTGAACCAAAACGTATTTTCACATGATAGAAGCAAAAAAAATCCCCTGGCTCTGGGTTGAAGCTTAAAGTCAGAGACTAGCAGGCATTTGGAATTCCTACTCTGTTCAAGACCACAGGAACCCAACATCAGTCCGGTGCTTTTCTAACATTATGGAGAAATAGATGTCACACAAAATCAGATCTTGGTAGATTAGCAGGTAGTTGTTTGACTAAACATATTCACCAATTTGTGGTGAATTGATATAAAAAAACAACAAGCATTTCACATCCATTTAAAGTAACTGATACTTTTTTTGAAGAAAGAAACCTCAAAGGTGGTTTCTCTAGAAAGAAAATAAAGCCTTAGAATGCTTTTCAGAGTTAGTCATTCAAAAACTTACTCTAATATTCATCCAAAGATTTTTGGCCAAAAATTAAAATACATAATCTGGGTATATAGAAAACAAATTCCACAGTTATCAATTCTATTCTTTATTTGGCTACAAAATGTTTATATATATATATATATATATTGATCAAAATACAAATACTTATTTTGTTCTAATTTTATGTTGCTGGGTAGAGGGGTTATAAATTCTCTAGCTCAAAAAATTTTGAAACTACATCTTTAAAAAGAACCACAAATGCCTTTTGAGAAAACTAGTGCAGAAAAAAATTTTGTCTAGAAAATTTAAATCAACATGCACCTGCTTCTCACTTTACATCTTCACAGAACCTTCTTCCCAGGGTGCTTTTCTGATGGAAAAGGGCTGGGACTATGAGGCTAATCTGGCTTTTCTGATGTCACCAGTTAGTGGAAAAGGAATCATCATGGTAAATACAGCCAACTAAGCCAACTTAGGTATTCAATTATTGTTATCTGATATGATAATGATGGGACCATGAGGAGCATTTTTCATGTTGTCATTAATTCTACATTTTATTGGGATATTGTAGCAGCCTATGTTCTCATTTTTAAGGTCTATTTTTTTCTTTCTAATATACCTCAATTTTAGAGACTTTTCAGTACAGTAAGTTTATGGTTGTCCCTAACAACTGAGTAGTAAATTTAGCCTACTAATTACTTTTCTGTATTTTGCCTTAATAATAGTAGTTAACATTTACTGAAGGTTTATTTGTGCCAGGAGTTGTTCTAAGTTCTTTAAGTATATTAGTTTATCTAGTGCTCATTTAAATTTAAATAATTAATCCTATGAGTCAGATGCTATTTATTATCTTCACTTAACAGATGTGGAAACCCAGGTACAGTTTTATGTAACCCTCCAAATCATGCTTTGAGCCACTGTGCTATGTTGCCTTAACCTTTGGATTTTTAAACTTGAAATTATTGTTAATAAAAAGGAAGGCCATATAAAATGATTCCTTTTAGTGGTTGATTCTATTTTAAGTAAAACAGAAAATCTTTTATAATGCTCTTTATGTGCCAAGCCTATTGTAAGCGTTCTTACAGGTACCAATTCATTTAATATTCACTCCAGCCCTAAGCGGTAAGTACCATTATTATTCCCATTGGATGGGAAAATAAATTGAGACACAGAGAGACTAAGTAACTTGCCCATGGCCACCAGCCAGTACATGATAGAAATTCGAGGTAGGAAGGATGGGTATGCAGATTATTGCAATTATTTTATCATTCTGGTCTTGTCACTGCTGTTTGCCTTTGAACAAATTGTTTCGTCTTTTGAATTTTTAGAAAGCTCATTTATAAATAAAGGGTAGGGAAGATTCCATGACCACTCAGTTTCCTTCAAATAGTCTTACTGATTTTGCACAACAAACTCTGCAAAGTCACTAGGAAAAAAAACTTACTTATGCTACTCTGTAGACTTAAATGCAAACTCCAGCTTTTAAAATGTACATTCTAACACTTCCCTGCATATTTCTAAGAATGGATCTGGAAAGCATCTAACAGGAAGCTAAGAAGGCAGAAAATATTTTGATGGTCTCCAGAAATGCCAGTTTCAGCTCAGCATCTGCCAACAGGTCCAGATAATCCTCTAAACTCTATATAAATCCTGGCTCCACCACTTACCAGCTGAACAACGCTGAGCAAGTACTCCACCCTCTGACCTCAGTGTCTTTTTCTGTAAAAGGGGGATAATAATAATCCTACTTCAACAGAGCTGCTGTGAGAAATAATTGAAATAATATGAATAAAGCATGTAGGCAGAACTTGGTCTACAGGATTAGTGAATTAAAATTTAGCACTGTTCCTACAGAAGATCTCTGCTCAGATGAAAGGGGAGATTGTGAAATACTGTAGTTATTGCCTAGGATTTTTCCTGAGGCCGAATGAAAGCCTAGTTCCACCCAAGATTTGGAAAACTGAGCTCATCATTTTTTTATCAAGGAGGGAAATCCAGTTAAATTGTTCAATGGTTAATATAAAGGGGATTTGATACTAAACTAAATTAGCTTGCTGAAATTATTTAATTTCAGAGGACCTGTGTGCAATATGTCAATATGAGCTAATTTTTATTTAATCTGATTCATATAATTAGGTTATCAATATTGTTATGTCTAGTTAACTGGACTGAATTTTCTAAAGTTTATAAGGAACAAATATTACTCTGCCCATCACTCTTTAGTTAGACTCAGAGGTAGTAGCTTTATTATTTGCTAAATGTCTTATAGTGCATTTCCTGTGGCCTAGAAATAGCATCTTAGAATACTAGAATCTGTTTTTCTTTCTAAGCAATTCAGCAAATATGCATTGCATATACCATGATTGTCCAGCGTATAAGAATATGGAGGAAAAAAACTAGGGAATAAATTAGGTCCATTTTAAATTGATTACAGAATGTTGCACTAAGTGGTGGTTACTGATATATTCACTACGCAAAGTTTTATGCACAAATATTATGTGATTATATTCAGGATAAAACAAATATCCTGAATGTGAGTAAAGCTTGCAGGGCTGAAGGAAATCATAGAGACTATATCATCCAGTTGAGGCCCACAGGGATTAATTGATTTGCTGAAGGTAATGCTGATAATAAGTAAGCATTTCATACTTTAGCACAGGCTTTCTTGAGCTCATGTCAGGGAAGGCCCATTCTTCTACAGCATTCTTTCAGGTATTATTCAAATGGTAATAATAATTGCAATAACACTGTTGAGAACACATGCTGAGCCAAAGCGACTGTTTGGCTCTGTTCCTATCACCTCTTGTCCTATCTCCTCTTAACTCTATGGGCCACATCTAGTTTTATAGATCAGATGACTGAGACCCAGCATTTGTGACTTGTTCAAGTCTATACAGTTAGCAAACATTGAAAGTTGAGATCTTGTCTCACTCCTGAATCTCGACTCTTCTGCTGGACCTACAGCTTCACCCATGGGGACCAATAGGATGGTATTTTTTACTGCATTTCCTTTAGAATCAGTATTTTAATCTCCTGCAACCATAATGGCTGCCTGTGACTACAGAACTTGTACCCAAATAGCTGAAAGAAATAAGATTCCCAAGACTTACAGCTCTACCTCAAAGGATAAGGGTATCAGAACAGTACCTAAATTATTTGTCTACTGTTCTTGAAAATTAATTGACTTCTAACAAATAAACTGAAAGCAATCTACCAAATTATTAAAACATTACCTTTTAGCCTATATAGGCTTGAAAGATTGTGAACTTAAAATCAAAATTGACTCGTCAGGCCCAAGGGGATGAAAAGAGACTATTAAGTTTGGGGCTCTATAAATTAAACTTGGAGGTAAGCTAGAAGTATTATAGAAAATTACTACTTATTTAATGTGCCATTCCTTTGGAAAGAAATTCCCAAAAGTTCAATACTGCCCTATATTTAAAATTTAAAAATATACTGGAAATTGATTAAATAATGATGGTGCTAAGCACTTTGGGTAGATAACTACAATCTTAGAAGCAGTGTCATAACAAAATATTTTAGCTTTCCCAGCTGAATTGTTAAATGTTTAATGTGTGATAGCAGCACTAAGTCCAAGGCAAAATGAGGCGATATGTTTAACTGTTTGAAAACTTGTTTTATTTAAAAAAATTTAATATTAATGCTATTTTCAATACAAGTGTGATAATACTCAAGAAAGTAGCATGTATTTGATATGGTGAATTTAGTAAGTAACAATCCATCTAGATCCTGGCCCCCTCTGGTCTCCCTTAGATACCCTAGTAGCAAAATGTAAATACCCTTTTAAAAAATAAGAGGCCTTTGGGCAGTGGGATGAGTAGAGTGAGATGGGGCAAGGAAAGTGCTCTTTCATGACACACTCATGCTTTTGGCTTTAACTTCATTTAGTAAGAACAGTTCTGGGAGAACTGAGACAAACCCTTCTATGCTCCATTAAAAAAAAAAAAAAAAAAACAATAGGAGAAAAAGAGCTTGTCAGGTTTTTGTTTTTGTTTGTTTGTACAAACCAGAGGCAGAGTGCAGGGATTAGGGAAATTAGGGGTTAAAAAAAAAAGTTGGAGTAAAGTGCACAGTTACTGTCAAAAATATATTATCTTGATCCTAAGAAAATTAAGAGAATTTTATCTAATGCACTAGATTGCTGACCTTTTAATACATTTGGTTTTCATGGAACATACAATCACCATCAGACATAAGACTAGTTTGCTTTTTTTAAAAAAAAAATTGCTTGGAGTTATCTACAGGAATCTCGTGAACGCAATTCAAGGATAACATTCTGCAGCTCTTTGGGTATTGGATGATTTCCTCGGACAAGTTCACCAAAGGAAAGAGGGGACCTCTACGCTCTCAGCTTCCAGGGAGGCTTTTTTCCTGCCTCCTCACTCCTCTCCTCCCCCACCTCTCAACTGCTTGCTCCCTCTCTCCCTAAATGCCAGTACTTTCCAGCTCCCTGTCCTCCACCCCTAAGGCGTGAGACCTGGAAATCATGAAGAGTTTCTCTTTGTTTGTAAACTGCTTCTGCACCGACAGAGGCGACTGGGTCGTGGGTAGCTCTTGGCTAGAATCTCCCGGGGGACTTGGCTCCGCGCCCGGAGCGGGGGCAGCCGCACAGTCTTGACTTTGACTGGCTACGGTGTCCACAACCGACTCCAAGGAGGTGCCCATCTCCCGGAGGGGGGTGTAGCCCTTATTGCTGCAGGACCCGTCATCCGACTGCGAGCTCCGCGAGTCCCGCCTCGCCTGGGGAGAGTCCTCCAGCCGCAGCGGGGGCGAGGGGGAGGCAGCTTTGGCCAGGAGGCTCGAACTTGGGTCCGCGCTGCTGGGGGAGGGCGGGGGTCCGGGGCCGGCGGCGCGCGGTAGTCCGGTAGCCCGCTGGTGCTGCGGCGCCGCAGGGCAGCGTACCTGCCGGTCCTGGGCAAGCGGCCGCCCTGCCCCCTGGCGGTGCGCGCCGCCGCGTCCTCGGGCTCCTCCGGCTCGCCGGGCTCCCAGCGCGCGCCGCACTCGGCGCCGGGGAGGTCGGTCAAGCTCAGGTCGAGCTCGCCCCGTGGGATCTCCCGGGATCCGCGTTCCCCAGGGGGCGTTTGCCAACTGCAGCTCGCGCCCTCCTCGTCCCCTTCTCCTTCCTGGCCGCGGTCCCCTGGCAAGGGTAGCAGTGCGAAGGCGCTCAGGGAGGAGCCCACGAGGGAGCTGGCGGTGCTCTGGCGCCCCCAGCTCCCAGGTGGGCTGCAGGGCGCGGGGCTGCTGCTGCTGCGGTTGGCGGCCGCGATGGCCGCAGCGGCCACCGGGGTGGCCCGGCGACGGCCCGCCGCGCCCGAGCGCTCGCGGTAGATGCTGTACACGGCCTCCGCCAAGCTCGGGGGCTCCCGCGGGCTTCGAGGGGACGAGACCAGGTCCGGTGGGGACGCGGCGGCCGGAGCACCCCCGCCGCCGCCCCCGCCCGGCGCTGTGGGCTGCGGCCACGAGCCCCTGGTCAGCAACGCCGCCGCCCCGAAGGCGTCCCCGGCGCCGCCGCAGCTGCCGGGCTTGAGCTCCAAGCCCCGCGACTGCACGTAGCTAAGGAAGCCATTGAGGGGCGCGGCCCCGGAGGGCGCCGAGGCGGGAACCGAGGACGAGGAGGCCGCGGCCGCCGCTGCAGCGGCCGCAGCAGCCGCTAGGTCCTTGGCGCGGAGGCTGTGCACGTCGATGACCGTGGAGTAGAGGTCCCGCAGGTTGATGATCTTGGTCTTCTTGTCCCGGTTCTCGTGGAGCACCGCGTTGGCGCAGATGAAAAGGAAGATACCGATGCCCATGATGAGGGGCCCGAAGACCTTGAGTTTGTCGGAGTGCAGGTAGCCAGAGAAGACGCGGAAAAAGAAACCCACCGACGTAGAGGAGGTCGCGGGAGGCACGGCCGCCAGCGCTGGGGGCGTGCTCCTGGGCGTGCCCACGGAGCTGGCATTGACACCCTCGGGAGCACCAGGAAGGCTCCGGGACCGGTTCTTGTTGCCACTGCTGTTACTATTGGCCGTGGTCGGGACCCGGTGGCTGCTGCCTGCTGGCGGCAGCTGCTTGCCCCCCTCCCTGTTGGCTCCGTTGGTCTTGGGCCAGTAGCCCACCACCGCCATGGCTATGCCCACTAGCAGCACCAGGATCCCGCAGAGGGCGATGAGCCCGGAGATGGAACACAGTTTCAGCTTGCCTTTCACCACCACCACGTCGTTCTTGCGCCTCTTCTTGGCTTTCCGCTTGCGCTTGGGGACCTGGCTTGGGGGGCGGAGAGGATCCTGCTTTCTGGCGGAAATCCTTAGCAGGCCACCGGTGGCGATCATGGCGAGCCAGTGGAGTGAGGGGCTAGCCTTTGGGGAGGAGGCTTGTGCAGGGGGGGCGCCAGCTGTCCACTAGCTGCTCCGCCACCTCCTCCTGCTGCAAAGCAGAGGAAGACAGTCAGAGGGTAAAGACTTGGTTGCAGCAACATCCCACGCGCTGCAACTGTCCTGCTCCCAGATCCCACCATGTGTGCGACCTCCACCCCAGGGCCTTTAACCCACTAAGCGAAGCGCCATATAAAGGGGTCCGGGAGCAGGGGACGTAGGAGGATTGGGGAGAATTGTTGCTGTAATTGATAGAGGTGATAAAACATTTCGAGGGACAAGGTCTCTTCCCCTCCCACACACACTCTGTAGATAATATTCAACATCGTTCATTTCCAACTCTCCTGGGTGGCAGTAAACGAGTTCTAATCATAGGTAAAAGCTAAATGTGGGGTCTCAGAGTATTGGTTGAGGAGTCTTCTAGTAAAAAGACTTTCCCTTTTCCCCACTGGAATCCAAAGATTTCTCCAGGGAGCTGCCAGGGGAGTTGTATGTCTCTAAGCAGAGGAATTTGTCAATGTGGGGCCCAAAGTCACTAAAATAGTCATACAAGTTACTATTTTATAAAGACAAAAAGAATTCACTTCTCTGGATGAAAATGAAAGGCCATGTACAGGTAGACAGATAGATGGCTTATTTACTTATCTATAGAGAGATCATTGCCAGGAGAATAGATGTCAATACTCTGACAAGAAATCCCTTCACAAAGTTATGTCTCACCCATTATTGTTCCTACAGCTAAAGGCAAGCAGATCTCTCTGGCAGTCTTCCTCAATTCTTTTCTACAACATCTGGACAGCTTCTTGGGATGGAATATTTAGTTTTAGGTAACTGGTTATATAACTAGGCCCTTCCTCCTGGCCTCCTCTCCTCCAGAGAAACTCCCTTAAGGTATCACGTGCCAGATCTCATCGGGGAATTTGAGAAGTCTCCTAGAACCTCTAAGAGAAAGACATTCTTCTCATGTGGGAAAATTACAGTCTTTAAGAAAAAGAGCCCACTCTGCCATAAAAGCTTTCTGACCCCTTATTAATGTGCACTTTTCAGTACTCTTCAGAAATCCAATATTCAAATGAGCAGGCAATTAACTGGGTGCAGCAGACTACATAATAATGATGATTTGTAGAATGACATTTCCGCAAGTGAGAGTTGTTTTCGTAATCTTTTTCTCATGAGGTCATTTTTAGGAAGGGGGGTGGTGATAACAATCTATGGACTATCCTAAAGGAAGTTGAGCTGTTTGTAATAAAGCCTGGGTAGGTACATGCACAGATGCGAATTTGTGGATCTGTTATCTTCTTAAAATACCAATCCTGCTGGATCTCCAGAGTAAAACATTTTGTGTTCCATTGGTTGTGTTCCCTCCCATTAAGGGCACTATATGGATATATCACTGTATCACTGATAAGCCTTTTGGTATTTTATCCTTTATAAAATAATACACATTTTAGAATAAATTACCATTGAAAATGTGGGATTACTCAGGTAGAATTTGCTTTTAATTGGATCTGGTGAAAAGCTCTGGCCCTCAATTCCTCCATTATATCAGTATAGGCTGGATCTTTTCTCCACTGGTGGAAAAGCAAATGGTAATCAGCTTTTTATAATGCTCGTAAATCAATATCTTCTTGAAACTTAGTTGGTATTCAGTAATAAAAAACACTGGGTGGGTTAGAGAGGAGTCAGTAGAGAGAAGACATCTATAAACCTTTTAAATGATAAGAAGGAGCTGTACCAGTAAATACAAACAGACTATTTAGAAAACAAAAAACAGAGCGGCTAACCCTCCAAAATAAGCACATTTATTTTAGTTATTAGAGACTCCAACATTGCTAATATAATAATTTAGAGATGTGACAATTTTAAAGATTTAGAAGCCAGAGATTCTACAAGCAAACCAGACTCAGTTGGCAGGGTGGCTCTCCCAGAGGAGAGAAGAGCTAACATTTTGTTGGGTATTGACAAGGTGCACCAGGACGCTGGGCATCTTGGAGGAGGTACCCACATGTATATCTCTTCGGCAAGGCAGCTTTGACTCTGGGTAGATGCAAGAAGATCGGAATGAATTTCAACAATCTTTAAAATTACTTTAATACATAGTAATTAACTCCCTAGTTTATTATTCCTTCAGCTCCTTTCCAATGTATCCACCAAACTGACATGAAATACTGACAAAGGTCAAATGCAAGGGAAGACCCTTCCATGGAGGATTTTCTTCATGCCTAATGAAGGAAAACAAACTTAGCAGTCGAGTTTGAACGCCCTTGCAAATGTACTGCCTGGTGCTGGTCTTTCCGCGTTCAAGGAATGGAGGATGGGGGAAGTAAGGAAGATGTCTAAAAATACAACTGCTTGGGAGAGACATTCAAGTTCGCGGCTCATGATGGATTAAGCCCCACTCCGCGTCTGAGGCTCAGCGCCCACAGGCTGCGAGCGCCCTGCAGTAAACGGGACTCAACCCAGGTATTGCCCTCGGCCCCTCGCTGGCCAGGCAGCGAACCCCTTGCCCTTCCTTTTGGTCTGCTTATTTGTGTTGGAGTCACATGAGTGCAGCAGTTGGGAGTTCGCCCGTGGACAGACGCGGGCAGGAGCGGAGTGAGGGCAATCTTGAATTCGTCTTTTCTGGGCAGCGCATCCCGTGTAGCCCGTCCGGGAAAATTAGTCTCCCCGAACATCAGCCCGGGGGACCGGGTGGCTCCGGGCAGGAGGAGAAGGAAGGAAGGGCCAGCTTGGGCGTGAGGACAGACAAAATTGCTCAAAATGGCAGCACTCTAAGCAAACAATATCACTCACTTACCCGGGAAGGCTGGGGCAGCTCTGGAAGGGCAGACGGGCGCCGGGGCAACACAAAGGAACCATGGAGAAACTTTTTCAGCCCGAGCCGGAGGCGGAGCGCAGGGACAGCGCCTCCGGGCCCTCCATCCGCGCGCTACTCAGCAGCCCAGCGGGGGCGAACGCCTGCCCCAGGTTCTTCGCCCCCTGCGGGGCCGCGGCGAGAGCCATTCCCAAGAGTTTGCAAGAAGTGTCAGGTCCTCGGCATCCCGCATCCTGCCTCGGGGCCGTTCTCTCCGCGCCGCTCCTCCGGCCCCCCTCGGCTTCCCCTCCCGCGGCGCTCCCCGCCGGCCCCAGCGCCTCTTTGTGTGGCTGCGGCGCGCCGGGCTCCGCCGGGTGGAGTTGAGCCCGCGGCTGCTGCGACCGCTCCTAGCGGGGCTCGGGGCAGCCGGACTCGAGGCCGTTGCTAAGAGACCGGAGCCATGACACAGGAAAATTGCTGCAGGATGGCAGTCGGTACCCGGCCCGACTCCGCGGCTCAGGGGCTCGCCCGCCCCCCGCCCCGCCTCCCGCCTCCTCGCGGCGCTCCCCGCCGCCCGCCCGCCCGCCTTCTCTGCTCCCCCACTTCCTCTCCAGCCCGCAGCCCGTCCCTTCGGAAGAGCCGCTCCCGCCACCCCCCGCCGCAGGACCTGGAGGCGCGCGGGAGGCGGAGGACCGGCCGCGCGAGTAGGGAGGGCAGGGCGCGGGGCGTCTCTCCCTTGGCCTTCCCGGCCCCTGGGGCGTCCTGCACCGCCGCCGGCCTGCTCTGAAGCTTTGTTCTTTTTCTTCCAACTACCTGTCTGAGCAGCGGGTCGGAGAGGGGCAAGAGGAAGGGCCGACGCCCCCGGAGGGTCTCCCCATCAGCATCCGAGGGGCGCGCTCCGGTGAGAGAGGGAGAAGTGCGTCCGCGCCCTCCCTTCCTCCTTGTCTCCCCCTTTCTCTGTCCTTTTGTTGCCTCCACTCCTAGACGCGACACAGCCTTTGCTGTTTGCCCCCCTCCCACTTGGGAGTTTGCAGTGTGGACGCACCGCGAACACAGTAAGTTGTCCCCCTGCGAACTCGGGCCGAGCGGAGCGGAGCCGCCCCCGCTGCGCGGAGCGCACGGCGGGACCCGTGGCCCCGGCAACCTGCTGGCCTCGCGCTTCGGCGGAGCCGGCTTTGGGGCCGGCCTCCTCGGGACCGCGGCGTCGCCGCCGACTCCGGCAGCTGGAGCCCCTGGAGAGAACCGCCCCCAGGCTCTTCCTCGGGCAGCGCCTTCTGCGCCCACCCATTGCGTTCATCAGCGAGCATTAAAAGGAAAACTGTAATTCTCCAGGAATCAGGGTTAAAATCAAAGAGAGGAGGTGGGGGTAGGGCAGATGTCCAAACTCTCTACGTCATTTTTAAAAAAGCGAGAGGGGGGAGAAGAAGGAGCTGGTTTTCTAGCTCATCCCGGTCCTCTCAACTGTAAAGAAAATGACAGGGAAAAGAGAAATTTAACAGGATTTCCCCCTAGAGTATTGAGAAAGTAAGGACTATTTCAATTAGCTGTTGAGGTGAAAGCAGTAAGGATCCAGGGGGAAAACAGGGGAGCAGATAAAACAAATGCACTCTGAACTTTGGGGTCCATACAGGAACACTGGCGTGGGGAGTGGGGGTTTGTATATTTTGACTTCGGCTCTTCAAGATCCCACAGAACCACACTGGAGGGCTTTGCTGTCCACAGTTCTAGTTCCAGAGTGTTCCTCAGTGTACACCTTTCACTTCTGTTTGAAGATAGAGTATACACTTCTCCCAAAGAATAATGAAGAAAAAATACAGGTTTAAAGATACAATGTGGACAATGATAATGTGAGGTGGGGAGAGAGGATAGATGGAGGAGAAATGTTCCCTAGAAGGAAATCCTGCACCTACCTGTTTAAAAGGTAGCTAAGTAGCTAGCTCTGTCACCCTTTTAAGCAAATAGTGAATCTGGAGGATGATCACCCACCTTCCACCTGCCTATTACTGTTCAGACTCTAGAAACACTAAAAACAAGCCACAACATTGCGTTGTTTCCTTTTTGGAGAAACTACTGCAAAGGAGAAATAACTAGGTCTAGTTGTCATTTTTAAACATTTTTTTTTTTTTTTTTGCTCCAAGCTTCCAGATTTCTTGAATCCCAATAAGCTGGTGTTTTGTACGAAGATTGGTCTACGATCTCATTTCACTCTAGATCTGACTGCCAGGGACATGGGTGGAAACTCCTATCCTTTGTGGACCTCTGATTGCTGAGCTGTGTAAACAGGAATTATACTGCAGGACTTCATTAGGATTTTAGGTGGATTAAACCATTAATAGTTTCAATTTTCTCCATAAATTATAACCATCATTTGCACATTTAAAATTCATTTGAGGGATTTGGAGAAGAATCCTTCTCTAAACAAATAGGCCTTGGTACAGAACTAGTTTTTTCTTATCCTGAAGGCTGCAATGCAATTTATGGTTTATTATTCAAAAGATTCCTTCTAAAATGAGCTCTTTTGAACTTTCAACTGTTCTATTTAACCTGAATGTTATAACCTTCTGTTATTTTCTTTGTTTTCAGCTCAGGGTATGAGAGGAAATCAAATAGATCACATCTGTTTCCAGTGGAATCCTTTATCCTCTGTAATAATATAGTTTCAACATACATTCCCAAGGGTTTCCAAGTTATATGGAGTTATTTTTAAAGCATCATGGATGCTTTGACCCTTCTGGAGGCACCATCCATCTAATTTCACTGGCTGTTTTAGTTAGGGTGATTTCTGAGATTGTGGGACATTTCCTTTCACCCTGTTGAGGACTGCGGGCTCAGGCTACCTAATCATAATAAAGCACTATTGTCTCATGCATGCAGAGCTCTGCACAACTTTCAGAACATGTTGTAGCAGGAGAGTAATGAAGGCCTTGGGAAAAAAGAAGAGGGAAAAAAAGAGCTTAATTCAATTAGATTAGACTCTGACCTGGAGCCTTTCATTTGCTCTTTCTTACAAACAATCCTAATGTAATATCTTCTGTATCATAATTTATTCACAACCCATTGACTTACGCTAATCATTTCACAACTGGTCTGTTCTCCAGGACTATTATAGAGAGAGCAGTGACCTGCCTGGGCCCACTTAGGCCTTTCTTGGTCTCTAGGAGTGTGCAAGGGGAGAGGGTTTGTTGTTGTTATTATTATTATTTAGATATAACTGACATATAACATTATATTAGTTTCAGGTGTGCAACATAGTGATTCAATATTTGTATGTAATACAAAATTATTATTTATTGCCATCCATGGTTATTTAGTCCCTTAGGAACTTTCAAATCTACATTACAGTATTGTTAACTACAGCCCCCATGCTATACACTGTATCCCCAGAACTTACCTATTTTAGGGAAGTTTGCTCATGTCAACAGCTTAACAGCTGCAAACTCTCCACTTGCCACACCTTCACAATTGTCCAGGTTGCAGAAGCAGGTGGTTTAGGATAACGGGTGGTGGGAACAATTGGTATGTATCTTTCACTAACTAATTTAATTAAGTAAATGACTTATCTTGCCTGCCTCAGTTTTCCATAGCATTGTTGTAAGAATAAACCATTTCATGTAAACGAATGCTTAGCATGTAAACACTCATTACATTTAATTTTACCTTGTTATTCTAATATCTTCTCCCAGCTCACTATCTTTATCCAGGGATTGCACTTAATCTCTTCAAAAGGGTGTTCCAGCATCAGCTGTTGTGATTGAACTGTGCTTATCCATGTGGCATAGAACATCTCCAGGAAAGAGATCACACTTTCTCCTTTGCTATACTGCTCATTTTGCAATTCACTGTGGCCCCTTAATGTACTCAAGAACCCACATTTCAAACTCATGTCACTTTACAGTCAGAAGTCTGTAAAAACACAACCAAGAGCACATCCTTCAGACTGGAAGTTTGAGAATTTCATGGAAAGCACTGTCAAGTCTTTTCATGGTATCTCCGCAACAGAAAAAAACTATCATCCCAAGTTCGACCAGTCCCTACGTCACTTTGGATGATAACTTGCCCTAATGAGAACTAATAGGAGTTCATTCATCTGCTCTTTCAAAATTGATTATGATGTGAATTGCAGGAAAGAAGAAACATGCAGATAAATATTTCATTCCTCTTCTTTCTTTGTTCCTTCTCCACTCTCTTCATACCCCTGTCACTAAAAAACAAAAGCATGACAAAAGAAGCAATAGATTAAGCACTAGATAACAAAATTATTGCATAGGACCTACACTGAAAAGCAAAATTATTGCATAGGACAACAATTGCAATAACTTTGCAAATGTAATAACTTTGCAAATGCAACAGATGTAAAGTTATTGCATTTGTTACCTATCTGAAACTCATATTTCACTGGGAATTCTGTGTTTTATTTACAACCCCACAACAACATACCTTTGGTAGTCTCACAATTTTTCCAGTACATATAATAAACAAAAGAGCCTGATAAAATAGGAAATATAAAGTGCAACCATGGATGGATGCCTCATTAGATTTCTTTTGGAACAGAGTAGGCAGAAAAAGAAAACATTAAACAGAGCCTGGGTGAAACAATAGAACTCAGAAGCCCAAGGATGGCACTGCCACAGCTGGGTTGCTCTTGACTTTGGGGTTTCTCAGTTAAAAGTTAAATGGTTCATTTCAGCCTTCCCCATGGTACACTTCTATGCCAGAGGGAAACTGCCTGCCTCCACCTCTACTCCCCAGAGTCCCACAAATGAACCTCTGAGACTGAGCTCAGCATCACTTTCAAGAACTTCAGTTTGGAAACTAAGGTAAACTCATGCTAGTGTCAAGGTGATGATCAAGCCCAATTGTTGCGTCCAAGAGTTCAAGCCCAAATGCTGCCACTACAAAGGAGAGGAAATGATGAAAAATCTAAAGAGCCTTCATTTCAACACATCAGACAGGACCATGAAGAGGGGGCGGGGGGATTTTCTAGCTCCTTCCCAGTTAAAGGGCATATGGCAATGACAGCTTCACTTCTGCCTTCAAACCCATTCATTGTTAACATTATAAACCACCAAGCTCTCAATTATAGACGTCCAAGGGGTTGTTTTCTCTAATAAGTAGGTTCATTTTTGTACATTCAATTTCC